AGGGCTGGCCGGAAACCCGGCCTCGGTGCTGAGACCCCTGCGGCTGGTGGCACAAAGATTCACCCTGGGATTTTCAAAGGGACCTAAGGGAGTTGTTGGCCATTGGCGTCTAACTCCCTTAGGCACATTTGAAAACCCAGGCCCAAATGGCAGCCCCCAGGAGGCCGTTGGGAGCTGGGAGCGTTCGACACAGCGGGACGTGGCCTAGAGACAGCCCAGAATCAGTCCCGCAGCCTGGCTGTCAGGACCAGTGAGCGCGCTGCTTGGGCCCATGTCTGGAAAGAGACATTTGAAGGGCAGCCAGGCCCCGGCCCGAGAAGTCCCTGCTCTCCTCTTCCTCTGGCAAGCCTGCCCAGTGCTTAAATCTTTCCCACCTGTCCCAGGGGATAAGGTGGATCTCCAGAACCTGGACTCTATCCTGGACAGCGTGGGCGTCCATTTAACCAACGCGGAGCTGCAGGAGGCGCTGAAACAAGCTACTCTTGATGGTTGGTCTTTCAAATCTCACTCTGTTCTCGGGGCCGGCGGGGGCAGAGATCAGCAGAACTGACCGCGAGGACGGGAAATCCTGCGTGTGCATCGTGCCTGTCAAAACGCAGCCGTGTGATGGGTGCCTGGGAGCTCACCAGGACAACTGGGCCGTTTCAAATAAATCCGGGGCCCACTTTCTGCTCCAGCTCACGCAGGGGTAAATCGAGGCTACCTGCCTGCCACCAGCGGAAGGACTGACTCCCGTTAAGGCAGCTTTACTCCACCTTGGCTGTGGAAAGGAGCCTTACACCTGCATACGTTGATATTTGCACCCACAATTGGAGCAGTGTAAAGTGAGCATAGTGACAGTGTCAATGAGAATCTAGTTTCGTGGGGTTAATCTGGATTCACGCCCCTGGAAAGGGGAGTGTGAGTCTGACCCTTTTACATTTCAGACCCTTCCCTTTCCTGATCCTTGCGCTCTGACTCCTTTCAAAGCTTCCAGCTATTTGTCTTTTAGAAAGAAGAAAGTTCTTAGTCCCCTAGGGTGCGTCTACTCTGCACCCTTACCTCAAAATAAGCAATTCCGGAAGAAATACTCTGAAATAGCTTATTTCGAAATAGCTCGTCTACACTGCAGGGAAGCTGCAAAATTAGTCGGAGGCAGGTTTCCCTAATATGGACACACTACCTCGATTTAGAGCCCCAGGAGTAGTTACTTTGAATGGCCCTGGGAAGGGGCTATTTCAAAATAGCAGCAGTGAGCATCCACACTACGGCTCTTTCGAAATAACTATTTCGGAAGAGGCGTTATTCCTCATGGAATGAGGTTTTCAGAAGTCGGACTAAGCCATCCGTTATTTTGAAATTATTTTGAAATAACAGAATCGCTGTGTAGATGCTCGCATTAGAATAACGGCCGTTACTCCGAAATAACACTGCTGTGTAGACGCACTGTGTGGCCCACACTGAGAGGAAAAGTGAAGTCTGCTCTGCAGCCTTAGTTAAGGAGCAGCTGGCTTTTAGCTTGTGGGGTAGAGGCTCATGGTTTTAGCCCTTAAGGTCCCAGGTTCAGTCCTGACTGCCAACAACCCAGATCCATTGGCTTCATGTAGGGGAAAGTTGCTCCTTCTTCCAGTGCCAACTGACCTGATCTACAGCAATCTCGTCAATTCCCAGCTGTGCCCTTCAGTGTGTGTTATGCCCTCTGACTCCGAGCTCTTCTTTACCTTGCAGCTGATGGAAAGGTGAATTTGGGCGAATTTATGAAGGGGGTGAAGACTGTCCAAAAACTGCCCCCAAGTGAGGGTAAGTGGGGGTCTAATACTACAGCTGGATGGATGAGACAGATCTGGATGAGGCAGGAGATGCATGGGGAGAAGGGGGAAGTGCTATGTGATCAGGTAACTAACGACCATCCTATGAATCCACACAAGGGGGCAAAGTTAAGGCTGCCTCGGTGACCTCGGTTCCCCTTTCCTGACTCTAGAGTATCTGACTTAGTGCCCTTAAGCTTTGATGCTGCAAATACGCACAGGCTCCACTGTGACACAGTAGTGAGTTCTCCAGATACAAACCTAAGAGAAATGCACCGGCAGACAACTGCTTCTCTAAACGGGGAGCCTGCGCCATGGAACAACAGAGTGTGAACGAGCTTGGGAAAATTAGCCAGAAGAGCAGGGTTCGGCGTGGGGGGATTCTTTCCACTTCCGTTTTTATCATGAACGTTGAAAGTTCTTGCTCCGTTGGGTGCAATGACGTGAGGTAAGTTCCCTGGCTATTGGCAAAGACACAGAACGATTTCAACACGAGTCTCAAGAATTCTCCTGCCACGTGGCCACACCTAGTGAATGACCAACACCGAGCGCCGGAGTGCTTAAAAGCACAAGCTTATAAGGCGTCGGTATCACTTACCGTGTTGTGCAGACAGGAAAGATGGCTTGGAGCCAAATGCTAGACATAGACATAGATTTGTACCCGCCCTCTCTGCTGCAACCTTGGAGCCAATCACCTAAGGCCGTGTGACCTGGAACAAATCATTTAAAGCGCCCCTGTGCCTCAGTTTCCCTTCCCAGCGTGAGCGTGAGATTTAGTTGACCAATACACGTCTAGCCCCTCCCATGGCAGGTGCCGGAGAAAGACAAAGGGTGATTGGATGGTAGAGAAACAACAACAATCTCTCTCACATCCTGGCTGCCGAAGGGGAACAACGCTTGCTTAGCTGTTGGGGGTGGCTGTTAAATGTACTGATGCGGATCCCAGTGTTGTTTCCTCTCCCTTCCCAGGGGACAAAGTGGACGCGGGGAGCCTGGGCTCCGAGCTGGCCAACCTGGGGATCCATCTAACCCCGGAGGAGCTGCAGGAGGCGCTGCAGCGCAGCCCCGCTGACCGTGAGCATGTCCTCTCCCGCTCTGGCTCTGGGGTGTGGCCGGAGCCGTTGCAGGGCCCTGCGGTGTGGGGCCAGGCCTCCCGCTGCCAACGTGGCGGTGGGCAGAGGCAGCGGGGGATTCAGAGCCCAGAATCTGAGGCCCAGCACGTTCGGCTGCCCCGCTGCCCATGGCCATGTCCGGCCGCTGTCTGAGCTTTGCTTTCCCTCGCAGGAGACGGCAGAGTCAGCCTCGGTGCCTTTCTGAAGAGCGTGACGAGCACGCGGAGGCCTTCCCAGGCCGAGAGTAAGCGAGACCAGACGCGCTCTTTGCATCCATTGCTGATGTGGCCTTATCGGGTCCGGGCAGCGAGTCTCTCTCCGCTTTAGAGGACACAGCTTCTCCTGGAGCTGTGTGGTGGGCCGACCCCTCCATTCCCCGGGGCACAGGATGCTGGGAAAGAGCAGGAAGCACTGGGGTTGTAGGGGCCTGAATCAGCAAGAGCCGGCCCCCGGAAGCCGTGGGAGCGGAGCCTACAGGACAGAGCTCAGCCTTTGTCACCATGGACTAGTTTAAGAGCCAGATGCATCACTAACCATGAGCATGTGGCTCCCAGGGCCTGCCCAAACTCCTATTAAAACATGAGACCCAGCCCAGACTGGCTGGGTTTGAGTCCCCGTGGCATTAGCAGTCTTGTAGCTTTGCAGGAGAGGGAGGATGGTCCAGCGCTCAGGAGACCTGTGGTCAATTCCCTGCTCTGCCCCAGACTTCCTGTGTGACCTTGGTCAAGTCACTTATTGTCAGATTTTAGAGGTGTTTAGGAATCTAAAGAAGGAGACAGGCACCTATCAAGAGTTAAAAAAAACCTGCGAATCCCAATAGACCCCGGTGTGCATCTGTAAGGCCCTGAGTGCCTTGGGAATCTAAAGAAGGAGACAGGCACCTAGCAAGAGTTAAAAAAAACCTGCGACTCCCAATAGACCCCGGTGTGCATCTGGAAGGCCCTGAGTGCCTTGTAAAAATACGGCCCTTTAAAAAAAAAAAACAACCATTGGTGCCTCAGTTTTCCATCTGTAAAATGGGGATAATAGCACTGCTCTGCCTCTTCACTGGTGTGAGGAAGAATACAGCAAAGATGGCAAGCACTCCGATAATCACTTTAAATCAACACGTCTGGCCCCGTGCATCCCTTCCATGCAGACCCCTAGGGCCGAGCTCACCCCCAAGCAGGGGGCTTGCTCTGTGTTAGCTGGCAGCCTTTCGTGGGACTGAAGTGGCACTCCGCCCTGGGACTGACTCTCTTCTCCGTCCGGGGCAAATCCCCCAGTGCCTGCAGCATCTCCAGCCCAAGCCAAAAGGATCCTTCCCTTAATTCACTTCATTATTCATGTGTAGCAAGTCACCAGTGTGCATGGGTGGGAATCCTGTTCTCAGTTTCTCCAGCCACAGGGGTGTAGCTGAGAGCAGAACTGCGCTCAAGATGGGTGTGTTGGGGGCTGGGAGCGCAGTTACACTGGTGTTACGCCATTTTAATTCACTGACGCCAATGGAGCGACACTGGTTCGGGGGATGTGGCTTCAGCAGAGACTTCTAACCTGCACCGGTGTCCACAAGGGCCTTACGTGAGATTTTTTTACCTCTCAAAGAGGAGATGCCAAAAGGTCCCGATCTGCTTTGCGAAATTATGGGCTGCCGGGCAGCAAGGAGAAAAGTGCACGGGCTCAGAATTCGGAAGGGGTTGTCATAGCTACAAGAAGGAAAACAGTAACCCCCTCAATCCTTTTATCCACTTCAAGGGGATAGAGTTGATACCCGGAACCTGGACTGCATCCTGGCCCACATGGGCATCTACTTAACCAATGAGGAGCTGCAGGAGGCGCTTAAGTTGGCGACGGTGGATGGTGAGTCTGTCGGGCCCGCGGAAGCGTTCGCCTCAGTTCCACAACCCTGGGCAAACGCCTGAGCTGCGCTTTCCCTTACAGCCGACGGGAAGGTGAATTTGAGCGAGTTCATGCGCGGAGTGAGCGCTGCCCAGCCTTCCACCCAAGGATCCGGTGAGCGAGCGCCTTATTACCGTGCCTGTCTCCCTCGGTCTCTCTGGGCCGGGTCCCCCTCTAGCCCGATCTGAAACCAAGTGTGTCTATAACTGGGCCCTTCTCTGGCCCTCCGTGCTGTTGTGTCTCGAGCCGGACGGCTTAGGCTGCGCGGCGCTGTGAGGTGAACTCTCTCCAACAGGGCGCCATGCATAACATGTGACGCCCGAGCTGTAGCTTTAGTACATCGACGTTTGCTTCATCCTTAGAGGAGAAGGTTAATGTCCGTGAGCTGGACTCCATCCTGGCCAGCCTGGGGATCTGTGCCGCCGACGAGGAGCTGCAGGCAGCGTTGACGCACACTACAGTTAGCGGTGAGTGTTGGGAATCTCTCTCCATGGCGGCAGGCCCACCGACTGGGCAGGTGCCCTGGGGCCCGGCGATTCAAAAGGGTTCGAGGCTCCTGGCCACCGCTGCTGCTACTGTGACAGCGGTCGGCACGCTGGGCCCTTTAAATCACGGCCGGAATGCCACATGGAGCGCTCCAGGAGGCTTTGAGGGCTGGGGGGGTGCCCCATGGGCTGGATGGTGGTCCCGCCCCTTCCGCCTGAGGCCCCGCCTTGTCCAGGAGCCCAGAGCTGGGAGCCAGCAGGCGAAGCTGGCCCGCGGATACACTGTCCCAGCGGCGCTGTGTGCGCACGTGCCCAGGCGACTCCACCTGGATCCATTTGGAACTAAATCCTCAGGGGCGGGGCCTGGGCTCCGCTCTGTGGTCAATAGACTTGAAACCCGCCAGGGAGCAATTCTCCCGCGACAGCGCGTTTTTGGAGGGAGGGATACACTGTCCCAGCGGCGCTGTGTGCGCACGTGCCCAGGCGACTCCACCTGGATCCATTTGGAACTAAATCCTCAGGGGCGGGGCCTGGGCTCCGCTCTGTGGTCAATAGACTTGAAACCCGCCAGGGAGCAATTCTCCCGCGACAGCGCGTTTTTGGAGGGAGCGCGTCGCTGTGATTGTCTCCTCGCCCCATGCCCGTCCTCTGCTTCTCTCACAGCTGCCTGTGCACGGTGGGGCTCTGCTCACACACACACACACACACAGTGGGGCTCTGCTCACACATACACACACATGGTGGGGCTCTGCTCACACACTCATATACACACACACACACAGTGGGGCTCTGCTCACACGCACATACACACAATGGGGCTCTGCTCACACACTCACACACACACACACCGTGGGGCTCTCTGCTCACACACACACACACACACACACACATGGTGGGGCTCTGCTCACACACACACACACACACACACGGTGGGGCTCTGCTCACACACACACACACACATGGTGGGGCTCTGCTCACACACACACACGGGGGAGCAGCTCACACACACACACACACACACACGGTGGGGCTCTGCTCACACACACACACACATGGTGGGGCTCTGCTCACACACTCACACACACACACACACACAGTGGGGCTCTGCTCACACGCACATACACACAATGGGGCTCTGCTCACACACACACACACACACGGTGGGGCTCTGCTCACACACACGGTGGGGCTCTGCTCACACACACGGTGGGGCTCTGCTCACACACACGGTGGGGCTCTGCTCACACACACGGTGGGGCTCTGCTCACACACACGGTGGGGCTCTGCTCACACACACGGTGGGGCTCTGCTCACACACACGGTGGGGCTCTGCTCACACACACGGTGGGGCTCTGCTCACACACACGGTGGGGCTCTGCTCACACACACGGTGGGGCTCTGCTCACACACACGGTGGGGCTCTGCTCACACACACGGTGGGGCTCTGCTCACACACACGGTGGGGCTCTGCTCACACACACGGTGGGACTGCTCACACACACACACACGGTGGGGTTCTGCTCACACACACACACACACACGGTTGGGCTCTGCTCACACACACGGTGGGACTGCTCACACACACACGGTGGGGTTCTGCTCACACACACACACACACACGGTGGGGCTCTGCTCACACACACGGTGGGGCTCTGCTCACACACACGGTGGGGCTCTGCTCACACACACGGTGGGGCTCTGCTCACACACACGGTGGGGCTCTGCTCACACACACGGTGGGGCTCTGCTCACACACACGGTGGGGCTCTGCTCACACACACGGTGGGGCTCTGCTCACACACACGGTGGGACTGCTCACACACACACACACGGTGGGGTTCTGCTCACACACACACACACACACCCACGGTGGGGCTCTGCACACACACACACACACACACACACTGCCTGCATTCAGGGCCTGGTCACAAAGCCAAGAGAAACTGGCTTCCTCCACTGTATCCAAATGGAACGGCCCAAGCCCGTCCTCCGTGGGGAAGCCAGCACTGCCATCGGAGGTGCGATTCCACACCCGTAGGCATCCCCACGCTGGCTGCTAGCTAGGAGGGCTGAAAACCACAGCGAAGACGCAGCAGCAGCTGCTTCAAGCCAGGAACATGAATATGTACCTAGAGGCCCAGGCTGGCTGCTGCAGCCCACCCTGAAACTGAGCTGCTGCGACTTTGCTGCTGGCTTTCAAGCCATCCGGATGGATTGGAGCTAACATGGGGAGCGTGGGCGTACCCGGCGCTATCCCTGCAGCAGAGACGTACCCGGCGCTATCCCTGGCTTCTTCCCAGTGTGGCTGCTTCTGCTGGCAGGTAAATGCCCCACTCTGGGAGCTGTGCGGCGCCAAATGCATTGTCCGCGCTTGGCAAATGGTAAATATCATCCGGGGCTCAAATCTGACTTGACCCGAAACATGGGACGTGCCAAAGTTATGGGGCGGAAATTCCAGTCAGAATCCGCGACCTGACTGCGGTGGTTGAAATACCTCCACGTGGTCGGGGCTCCGGCTGCCTCCTGGTGGGGGAACCCAGCCTCTCTTTCCTTTCCCTGCCTGTCCCAAACGGTTCGATGCTTTGCAGAAGCCGGAACAGTGAACCTGACGGACTTCCTGAGGGCGCTGAACGCCACACGGTGCCACGCCAAGGCTCGGAGTGAGTGGTAGACACCAGGGCTAGTGAGGGGGTCGCGCGAGTGGTCGGGGCTCCGGCTGCCTCCTGGTGGGGGAACCCAGCCTCTCTTTCCTTTCCCTGCCTGTCCCAAACGGTTCGATGCTTTGCAGAAGCCGGAACAGTGAACCTGACGGACTTCCTGAGGGCGCTGAACGCCACACGGTGCCACGCCAAGGCTCGGAGTGAGTGGTAGACACCAGGGCTAGTGAGGGGGTCGCGCGAGTGGCCTTCCTTCATCTCCGTGGGCCACGAGATGGAAATCGGGCACGTGCCCTCACCATGACCCCAGAAATTAGCTAAAATATGGTGCACTTGAGTCTCCTTCTTTCTCAACACCAAGTGATCCGTTATTAGGGGCCAATTAAATTGCCGGCAACAGTAACACCAAGAAGTGGTGGGAGCACGTGGCGCTCACAGTGCTGGGTGCAATCAGCATGCACCTCACACTGGCCCTTGCTTTAAATGTGTGTCCTGTCTCATTTTGCCTCCATCCTCCTCTCTGCTGCAGGCCCTGCCCCCACGCCACCTCTTCCCTCAGACCCCCACCCGCCTCTTCCCTGCCTCCTCCCCCAAGCGCATCCCATCCCTTCCCCTTCCTCTCCCTCCTCCTCCCAGCATTTCCAGAGCAACACAAATTGGCCACTTCGCCCCCGTCCTGCTCCTCCTCCTCCCTCCCCAGAGCTTGACTCCACAACTCAGCTGATTCAGACACTGGAAGGACCCAGGTTTAACTCTTTACTCTGCCACAGCATTCCCGTGTGGCTGTGTCCATGTCACCCAGTTTCTCTGTCTGCATTCCCCATCTGTCCTTGCTGACCTCCCAGGGGCTGTGGGTGGCTCCGCTACCCCAGGGGTCAGGGGCAGCTAGATTGCAGCTAGAATCCACTAACAGTGGGCTCTGCACCCAGGAAGAGGAGGTGGTCCCAAGAGGACAGGGCCAGGACAGACCCTGCCTGGAAGCAGTGTTGCTGATGGGAAGGCTTAGAGTTCATCAATTCCCCTTGGCTCCAGGTTGGATTGGCAGAAAGCCTGGCGTGCTGTGGTCACAAAGGGCTTTGTCAGCCGCGGTTACCCTCACTGATGGCCTAATTCCCCTCCCAGCCCCACGGGCGCGAATCGGGAGTCGCTCCAGAGTCCGTGGGCTGACCCCAGTGCCAATCACATGCCAGCAAGATCAAAACCAGGCTCAGAAGCAGAAGGGAGAAGCTAACACTAAGCCCCCAGTCACACATGGGGAGGGGGGACTGTGGTGACACGTGCTCCCCTCAACAGGTCACCTGCCCCCCACATTTTAATTGCTGACGCTGGGTGTCCTCACTCTGCACCCCCTCACCCTCCGACCCGGGACGTTGTGCTACGGCCGCTCTCTGGCAGTTCCCACGGTGACGTGCTTAGGGACGGGACCCTGCCAGGGGAGGGCGGTGTCTCTTGAATGGCTCCTGCTGCCCCCCAGCCAGCCTCCCTGGCTCACAAGGGTTGCTGGGGCTACAGACTGTTGGGGGCTGGGGTTAGGGATTGCCTGGACACCTGGTGTGGTGAGGTCACAATCCCTCGGTCTGAGCAGGATCGGGGGCCGGTGAGTTGACTGAAGCTTGTGGCCGTCCCCTCTTGCTGGGACACATCAGCTGGGGTGGGCAGGACCTAGGTCTCTATTTCAGGTGCCTCATGCCAGGCTTAGATGCTTGGCAGACGCCCCAGGGAGGTCGATAGCTCATGGGGGGGAGTCAAGGCTCTGGAGAGCTCCGCGTGCCTCACGCCCAGGGCGGTGGGAGCCTGCCGCAGGGGATGATTCGGGATGCCAGTCACAGAGCGGACGGCCCCAATTCATGAGGTGAGGTAGCTGGGGAAGAACAGGGAAGCTACGTCTCTTAGCTCAGTCTGCCCAGCAGTGCTTCTCTCGCCCCGCTGCCCAAGAATCTGGGCACCTCCCAATCCTTAATGCAGCCTTAATCCTTGGCCCACGGGCAATCTCCAGCCTGAGCATTTCCACAATCCGGCCGAGTCCCTGCGGCCCTGGGGGGGCGACGTACCCTTCCCTCAAGCCCTGCCCCAGCCGAGTCCCTGCGGCCCTGGGGGGGGCGTCGTACCCTTCCCTCAGGCCCTGCTCCAGCCAAGTCCCTGCGGCCCTGGGGGGGTGTCGTACCCTTCCCTCAAGCCCTGCCCCAGCCGAGTCCCTGCGGCCCTGGGGGGGGCGTCGTACCCTTCCCTCAGGCCCTGCTCCAGCCAAGTCCCTGCGGCCCTGGGGGGGTGTCGTACCCTTCCCTCAAGCCCTGCCCCAGCCGAGTCCCTGCGGCCCTGGGGGGGGCGTCGTACCCTTCCCTCAGGCCCTGCTCCAGCCAAGTCCCTGCGGCCCTGGGGGGGTGTCGTACCCTTCCCTCAAGCCCTGCCCCAGCCGAGTCCCTGCGGCCCTGGGGGGGGCGTCGTACCCTTCCCTCAGGCCCTGCTCCAGCCAAGTCCCTGCGGCCCTGGGGGGGTGTCGTACCCTTCCCTCAAGCCCTGCCCCAGCCGAGTCCCTGCGGCCCTGGGGGGGGCGTCGTACCCTTCCCTCAGGCCCTGCTCCAGCCAAGTCCCTGCGGCCCTGGGGGGGTGTCGTACCCTTCCCTCAAGCCCTGCCCCAGCCGAGTCCCTGCGGCCCTGGGGGGGGCGTCGTACCCTTCCCTCAAGCCCTGCCCCAGCCGAGTCCCTGCGGCCCTGGGGGGGGCGTCGTACCCTTCCCTCAAGCCCTGCCCCAGCCGAGTCCCTGCGGCCCTGGGGGGGGCGTCGTACCCTTCCCTCAAGCCCTGCCCCAGCCGAGTCCCTGCGGCCCTGGGGGGGGCGTCGTACCCTTCCCTCAAGCCCTGCCCCAGCCGAGTCCCTGCGGCCCTGGGGGGGGCGTCGTACCCTTCCCTCAAGCCCTGCCCCAGCCGAGTCCCTGCGGCCCTGGGGGGGGCGTCGTACCCTTCCCTCAAGCCCTGCCCCAGCCGAGTCCCTGCGGCCCTGGGGGGGGCGTCGTACCCTTCCCTCAAGCCCTGCCCCAGCCGAGTCCCTGCGGCCCTGGGGGGGGCGTCGTACCCTTCCCTCAAGCCCTGCCCCAGCCGAGTCCCTGCGGCCCTGGGGGGGGCGTCGTACCCTTCCCTCAAGCCCTGCCCCAGCCGAGTCCCTGCGGCCCTGGGGGGGGCGTCGTACCCTTCCCTCAAGCCCTGCCCCAGCCGAGTCCCTGCGGCCCTGGGGGGGGCGTCGTACCCTTCCCTCAAGCCCTGCCCCAGCCGAGTCCCTGCGGCCCTGGGGGGGGCGTCGTACCCTTCCCTCAAGCCCTGCCCCAGCCGAGTCCCTGCGGCCCTGGGGGGGGCGTCGTACCCTTCCCTCAAGCCCTGCCCCAGCCGAGTCCCTGCGGCCCTGGGGGGGGCGTCGTACCCTTCCCTCAAGCCCTGCCCCAGCCGAGTCCCTGCGGCCCTGGGGGGGGCGTCGTACCCTTCCCTCAAGCCCTGCCCCAGCCGAGTCCCTGCGGCCCTGGGGGGGGCGTCGTACCCTTCCCTCAAGCCACACTCACAGCAGGAACTGCAGGGAAGCAGAGCAACCAGGCCGTGGGGAGTACGGGAGGGGCCTGACCCCTGCTGCTGGCCCCAGCCCACCCAGGGCCCCGTGGGCTAACCTGAGTCTGGGGGACCATCCTGTCCCTGCGGAGTCTCCCTCCCAAAGCGCAGGGCCCAGGGCGGCCACCCCAACCCGTCCTATGGAGGGGACAGCTCTACACACACGTCCCCCAGGCCGCAGGGACGTGCCGGCAGTGGCGTGGAGCTAGCAGCAGGGAGCCGCTCTAGCCCCGCTGTGCTGCTAGGGGGTGGTGGCCGTGTCGGCCCTTGGGGCGTTTTAAACCAGCTGGGTGCAGCAGGCAGGGTCCGGGATGCCTGGGAGGGAGCCCGGGCTGGCAGGAGGCCACAGGAGATGCCTGGGGATCCCTGCCCCCCACCCCGCAGAGCCCTGCCAAAGGGGGTGCCTGCTGGCCCACTAGGAGGATTTGAGGACTGGCCCTAAAGTAAATTGAGTTTGAGAGCCCTGCACCAATGACCCCTTTGAGCGCCATTCTCGCCACTGTCCCCATGGGAACGGAGGCACAGAGCAGTGCCCCATTCTGGGGTTCCCCTGGCCGCCACCCGCCAGAATCTCTCTCTGGTCCCAAGCGCTGGGATCAAAGGGAAAGGGAGAGGAGCCTCTGACCCTCTGGGCATGTTTGTCTTCTACCCCAGAGGAACCTCAGACGACTGAAACCAGAATGACCCTGAAGTCCCTGCCCAAGAAGATGATACTGAAACCAGACCCCAAAAAGGCCAGCAGGTGAGTGTGGTGGTGCCAGGGCGACCATCGCTGTGGATTCCCAGGTCTCCCCAGCAGGAGCCCGGCCTGCACTCCTGGGTAAAACACCCAGCACACTTGGGGCAACACTCCGCACTAATCAGCCACTTTGGAAACCGTGAACGTTCCAGCTGAAGGAGCTGGCTTCCTGGACTCTCCCGAGCCCCTGTGGCTGGGATGCTGAGAGCATGTCTTCCTTTCCCCCCTGCCCTTGGTTTTATAGAAAATCAAAACGCCCAATGGAGCCAGGCGCATGGAAATACACGCACACGCTAGAAGTAGCACGTCAGTCACAAAATTCAGCCTTTGTTATTTGCAAAACCTGGGGAGGCGGGGAGAGAATCCCAAACCCAATCAGGCCATGCAGGGAGCTGCTTAGTAAAGCAACAAAACAGATAAATAAGTGAGACCATAACCTATGAGTAACAGGAACTCCTAGATACTCAATTGCAAAAGTATGCGATCGTTTCACATGTGACCAGGCAGCCTCATATTTTTTCCAAGTGTTTCTTTTAAGCAGAGTCACTTTTTCCATGAACGCAGGGGCAGCGCTCAGGAAGCCAGTCTGTAAATGAGGGAGGGACTGCGAATTTCCATTTCTCAAAAGAACTCTTTTGGCCACCACAGTAGTTACTGCAGGCCTGTACGCGGGGGTGTGTGCGCGAAGGGTGTGAAAGCACCCCCAATGGACCTCCAAGTAAGCATGCTCCAGCCGGCCAGGGGAAGACAGGAGTGGCGCGCTGCCCGAGCCTCCCTCCCCCATGCTCTGGGCAGCCATGAAAAAGCTGGGGCTTATTTCCCCACTTACTTGAGGGACCGGGGGGAGGGGAGTACATTCACACCCTTGCAGTCACATTTACAGAAAAAATCACACCCAGAAATTCCTGCGTATGGGCCTGTACTGCTATCCCTTTCTTACAGGTAACACCAACTCATCCAGCACCCCTAAAACACACAAGCCATCGTGGATATTTGTTTAATCAAAGGAGGCTAGTCCATCATCTTGTATTACAGGTTTCATTTTTGTTAATCTGTTTCTATCTACTTTGTCTTAAACATGGCATTGGCTTTGATCCTGCTGCATAGCTTCTCCCATACCACAGAGGTAGGAGAAGAGAATTAATAAGACTGGATGCTTTAATTGTCTAAGTGCTTTGCAGGATGCAAAGATTGGGCTTTTCCTTAAAGGTGTGAGTAGCCTCTTCAGGTTTATAAAAGAACAGAGGGAACCACATGGCATAGCTACGCTTTTTTCTATCTTAAACCAGGCGGGTGTATACACAAAGCAACTGGAGAGAACCAACTTACACGAAGATGCATTTGGAATATAAATACAGATCTGATAATCCAAACGTTTCCTAGGATTTTTTTTAAGGATCTTAGGTTACAAGCGGGGGAGAGACCTTGAAAGGCAACAGACTAATGATATAATGTCAGTCTTGGGCAGATATTCATTCTGGCTATTTCTGTCTAAGCATACTGGGTGGAGACATCTCTACATTTTGGGCATTTGTTTTATTTATTGTCCATATTCACAGAAAAGATTAGGACAAGTCTTAACATCGAAATAAGTCATTTCCTGTTCTGTTGGAAATGGAAAACTCTGAGCCTCAGAAAGATCTGGTCTTTTGGATATGTTGGAGGCTTTGTGATTTATTCCGGTTATTGCAAAAACCAGAGGACTCCAGAAATGTAAGCTCCACGCAGTAACAATGAGATTCACGAGGATGGATTCTTCACTAGAAAAAAAATGACATCCTCAGCATACCACCTGATTTTGCATTCCTTCCTGAAAGGATGTTAAATTGCAGTTATCTGGCTAATTGTGTAGTCGATACATGATTAGTCCATAAGGACCACGCTGCAGGGCCACAGCCAGTGTAGCTCCCGGAGCCGGCTCGAGCTGGCACTGAGCAGTCCTGGCTCGTGCAGGCTCTGGGAGCCACCGGGCTCTCCCTCCATTTAAGATGCAGAGGCGCCGTGTCCCAGACCAGCGCGAGGCGGGACTGCTCGGTCCCAGCTGATGCCGAGTCCAGCAGCTCCTGTTCGTGGCAGCCAGGGCTGGTTGCAGAGGGGAGCTGCTCCAGCAACAGTCCCTGCCCACAGCTAGCTCGGGCTATGGGGAACGGGCTGCTTGACCACAGCTCTCCACTGAGACCCCTGACGACAGAGGCTGCTTCACAGCAGCTTCCCCTATCCCTTCCCTCCCCCACTGCTTCTGATAGAGGTGATGGTGGGGCAGGCAGCACCGTGGAGACAGTGCTGGGGGGAACCAGCTTTTAAGCGAGTCGTCGACTCTTCTCTAACATCCCTACTTCCCTGTTGATAGTCACCTGCAGTGACTGTGGACACATGTATTTTGCCAGTGGCTTGAGAGAGATTAAAAGGGCAAGTCAAGAGGGGACAGCCCTGTTGTGTCCCTCTTTCTAGTTGACACATAAGAGAAATAATTCCATTGGTTGGCAATGTGGTGCAGGGAGAGTTGTGGAATACATTCAGCCAGTTCAGGAATATTGGTCCAAAGTTTGTTTTGTTTTTTTAAGGACAGCCATTCAATAAGGCCATTCAACCCCATCAAAGGCCTTCTCGGCACCTAGCGATAAGGCTAGGGAGGGAACGTCTGACATCTTGAGCTTGCTGGATCAAGTGAGGGTACCACTATTGTGCTCGGAGTACTGGGTAATCGGGTCTGCCCTGATGTCTGTCTAGTACAGCGTTCCAGCCACTTGCCAGTATCATTGGCATGTCATTTTCATTAGAAAGAATGTCTGCAATGTCTCTGGAAAAAATCAGAATTACCTCCACTCGGCCATAAATGCTTCCCAGAATTAACTTTCTTTGAATTGGAACACCTTCAAGAACATTACCTCCTTCAGGATCAAACAAAGCCTATCCACATTGAAAAATGATTCTTTTACGAATTAAGATGAATGCGCCTCTGCTGTTAGGATTCGATTATGAATGATACTCAAGACCTATCCACATCTTCTTAATTCTATTGGCAACTATTTCTGCTACAGGAGTTTCCTGCACTAAATCTACTTGGTACTTTTTTTATCTGAACTCTCTCAGGATTTCAGTTCCTTTGGGAGGCCGATTAAGACCCCTCACATTCCAGAAGCACACTAAGAAAATTCATGGCAAAATGTAAAAGCCATATTAAAATGTATAACCTTATTTTAAAGATACATATTTCTCCATTGGTATTGTAAACTCACATCTCTAGGATATGGTCTATGTTTGTACATATTAGACACTGATTAGTTTTCAATGAATTTGTGCCTTCATTTCAGTCTCTAAAAGTGTCAAGTATACAAAAAAGATAATGGCTATGTCTAGACTACATCCCTTTTTTGGAAAAGGGATGTAAATTAGACGTATCGCAATTGCTAATGAAGCGGGGATTTAAATCTCCCGCGCTTCATTAGCATAAAAATGGCTGCCACTTTTTTTCGGCACGGAGCTTTGTCAGAGAAAAGCGCCAGTCTAGACGCTGATCTTTCGAAAAATAAAGCCTTTTCCGAAAGATCCCTTATCCCTCTTGAAATAAGGGTGTGTCTTACAGATATACAATGTGTCTTACAGATATACTTTGGCCAGAAAAGAAAAAGAAAATTAAGATTTAAAACAAGCCAATGTGGGCACGTTTAGTTCCTGATGGCTGCAGTTCTATGTCTCCTCCCCTCCCTGTATTATCTAATGATATCCTAAACATCTCTAAATGCAAATACATTTTAAGTCAAATCTTATCCTGTAATTACCCATTGGGTTCTAAAAACCTGTGTAGTGTATTCCTATGAATAGTTACTTAGGCCTATGTATCTGCAGACTCACCACATGAAAAGTTATAATTAGTTTGGTAAATCAATTAATACAAAATCTAAATCTGAAAAATACAGCATAAAAAGTTTCATATACATAGTATGTCAAATGCCCTGCACCAGTTGAATGCCTAGTGCTGTTTAAGGTTAGGTTATGGGCAGTTTCCTTTATTGGGCGTACTGACCGTTCCGCCAGGGACTTGTGCCCATCATAACGCCATCCATCAGAGGCAAAGCTTGTGAAGTGGTTCTGTCTGGCAGTGTGAGCTGGGATGATTAGCGCAGCCAATACATCAGGCCATAGATGGTGCTGTATTCCTCAGCTTAGTGTTCAAGTGTTACTCTGTGCGTTGTGGTGCTAGACACCTGGTATCATCAGCCCTAAAGGTGATCAGCCCAAGAGTTCAGCCGAGCTGAACTAAATTTTGTACAAACTGACTTGCCAAACCAATCGTATTTGCTAGGAGTCGGATGTTTATGTGACGATTACCATATTGGCAGGGATACCTAGAAAAACCAACTGATTTTTAAACCAGTTGAGGTTTGCTAAGTATTGGATTAAAAAAAATCTATTTTTGGTCAGATCTGATGTCAGGCTTTGAAGCATCTGCCAGGTTTTCGAAGGGATTTTGCCGTGCCTGCTGAATCCATACGGCAGGTGGATGGGTCTTTGAGGCTGTGTCTGACGTTGGTTCCTCTCAGGATTTGTTTTATGCCACTGAAGACAACCCTCTTTTTCATTAAACTCAGCTGGGAAGTCAGGAAGCAGAGATGCTGTGGCCTTGCTGCGCGAGGGCTTCCACTTCTCTGGCAGCATCGATTGATGTTAATTGATCGCGCCGCTTCAGTGGCTTGAAGACGATGGTCTTGGGCGGCTCGGATTCCTGCCCTCTAGTACCAGGCATCCAAGGGGCCCTGTCAGCATCCCGCAGGGGCAACTGAGGGTGCAATTTAAATACGTCAGGAAGCAGCTTTTGAGGAGAGCGGATAATATCTGCCTCCTCCAGACACTCAGCAATAGCCGAACCTTTGTGTGTTCTCTTTCCTAAGTCATCCTGTCTGTCCAGACCAACGATCCAGAGGCACCGACAGCCTCTGGGGGCCTCTGGGCCAAGTCAGGGGAGGGCCCCGACTCCCACTTCTGGAAGGGGTGTGACTTTGGGGAGAAGGAACAGGGCCAGGGCAGCCCTGAGTGCCACCTGGAGTGCTCCATGCTGGCCCCCAGACAGCTCCGAGAACATGGTGCACCCTCCCCGCCCTGAGCACTGCCTGGAGTGCACGGCACCATGTTCCACCAGCAATTTAAAGGGCCAGGGTTCAATCTGCCGCCACTGCCGCAGTGAAGCAAGGGTGTCTGAGAGCCCGGAGTCTCTTTGAATCACAGGGCCCCGGGGCAACTGCTGTCTTTGTCCCCCGTTGATGGGCCTGAATGGCTCTCAGCCGGGGGGAACGCCTCCCCCAGAGTGCTCAGGGGGCTTCTAGATCAGTGTTTCTCAAGCAGTGGTACGAGTACCCTTAAGGGTACACGAGAGAAGTCGGGGGGGTACGTCCACACAACTGAAATTTGGAGAAAACTGAATTTTTCTTTTTAGATTTGACAGCGTTTTATTATTTTTGTACTTTTTACACCCAAAAATGTCATCGCCTGCCTGGCTCCGATTAAATTGTTTAAACAAATGCGCTGCAACAGTAGAAATAAATGTTGTGTGTCTGAAAACTGTAGGTACTGGAGGTACTTCTACAATTTTTTAAAAAGGGGTACTTTATAAATAAAGGTTTTGAAACACTGTTCTAGGGGGTACATCAACGCCTCTAGCTATGGCCTGGTTTTATGGGAGATGAGGTAAAAAGCCCTGGTGAAGTCAGGACAAAGTAAAACTTGGTACTTGTTAATACGGCTCTACGTACTGAAACATAAGGACAATATTTCTATTCCAATCGAATGCTTTTACCATTAGATGGCAAAAATGAGAAAGTCGGCCATTTTCCAGTCTTGGTGTGCGGTGGCACTTTTGTATTTTATGTCTGATTGTGTGAGCAAGTAGCTAAGTGAGGTGCCACCTAGGGCTGCCCAAGATAAATTGGGGCACTGAAAGGGATCCAGGAGTCTGGAATAAGGATGTAAGCGATTACTCAGCCAGTCACTTCCCTCCCTCCATTGCTGCCTTTGTATCAGAGGCACCAAGGTGGGCAAGCAGGAGCTGGTACTTAAAAGCCATAGAATCATAGAGTGGGAAGAGACCTCAGGACCAATCCCAACTACCGTATTTTCCGGCGTATAGGGCGACTGGGCGTATAAGACGACCCCCTAATTTTTTAATTAAAAGATAGGGTTTCATCTTATCCCCCAGCGCCCCTCCGCCTCCTTTGCTCCCGGTGTCCCTGGTCTGCTGGAGACGGTTCCCAGCAGACCAGAGGCACCGGGAGCAAAGCCGCAGCAGCTTTGCAAAGCCTCGGGGGAAGCCGGCGGGGGGGCATCCCAGGCGTGCCTGGGATGTATACCCGGCGTACAAGACGACCCCCGATTTTTGGGGGATGTTTTTTAACATCAAAAGTCGTCTTGTACGCCGGAATATACGGTAAATCAACCCGGCCAGGGCTTTGTCAAGCCGAGACTTAAAAACCTCTAGGGATGGAGATTCCATCACCTCCCTAGGGAACCCCTCCCAGTGCTTCACCACCTTCCTAGTGAGGCAGAGGGCAGGGGAGGCAGAGGCGCAGCGGGGAAACGGCGCAAGTGGTGACCAAAGCAGTCCTCGCTCGCACAGGGTCCGGATTGCTGCGCCTCTTCCTTTGAAATGGACAAGAACTGTGGGCCAGTGGGGACTGCTTCAGTCCCCCCTTGCACGAGTTCCCTTGCACAGTGGGCTAGCGAGCGCCCCCCCCTTATCTACTAATCAAGTAGCCGATGGAAATTCCATCGACTACTCGATTAGCTGATTAATTTCCCTGGTGTGGAAAGGTTGAGAACTGCTGGTCTGGTCTTAGGTTCAAGGAGACATTTCTTCTTTCACTTCCCTGGTTTCAGTGGGAGCCTTTCCAAGTGAGCCCTTTGGGATTTGACACCACCCCCAGCTGGAAAGAGGCTCCAGATAGCCTTGGAAACGGAATCCAAGTGGCCTGTGTCGCGATGTCGCCGGCTAGATTCTGCTGCAGCCTTCAAATCCCTCGGGCGTTGTTTGGGTTGGTGCAGGCCGCAGTCTTGTACTGCGTCTCATTCCTTCCTGGGGCTCCACATTCAGCAGTGTGACATGTATCTAGGGGAGGAGGACGGAACATATTGCCAATCTGCGAGTCCTTATGAGACATAGAGTGATGTGTGGAGAGGGAAGCAGCCCCTCACACTGGTCTCGTGGGACCCCCGAAGCTCATAGAATCCTAGAGCTGGAAGAGACCTAGAAGGTCATCAAGTCCAGCCCCCTGCTCTAGACAGGGCCAATCCCAAGCTCATTCTTTCTAACACTGTAACTTGGCTAAAGCTAAGGCTGCCCAGGTCCGTGCTAGCTGGTAACGGTGCTTTCTCCCCGCTGCCCGTAAAGTCTCTGTGCAGCCCTGAGGTAATTGCATAAGAGGGCAGGATCAGCCCCTAGAATTGGGGTGGGCAGGGGCGGCCCGTGACTATAGGCCGACTTGGCCGTCACCTAGGGCACCACCTTCAATGGGGCACCTGGGGCGCCCGATGATGATGTCACTCCATTGATGGCCGTGCAGGCGAGGGTGCCAACCGCACGTTCCGCCTGGGGCGCCGCTGCCACAGCCTGCCTTGGGCTGCTCCTGGTGGTGGGCAATAATATGGCGGCGATTTATGGCCAATAGAGCCTGCGGCCACGCAGGTAAATATAGTGGGGGGAGGGGTACCACTGGATCCAGCCCACGTGCCGGTGTTTGCCTACCCCTGCCCTAGAAGTGACTCTGGCGTGACTCCCTGGCATCTCACTGATGTTTACAACTGTGTGAAACCGAAGTGAGAGCAGAATCAGATAACAAACTTTTCTTGGTTAAATTAATGCAACCCCGCTGAGCTCAGCATGGTTGCACGTGGGTCGCCGAGAGGCATTGGGCTGCCTGCACCATTGCCTGCCCTGAATCCACGCACTCGGCAGCTGGCCATCAGAGGTGAGAAGACTGTCCCTTTGCTCCTTTTAATTGTCCTTTCCATTCCGGACTGTTGTACGGCAGGGAGTTATCTGGCATCCTTCTAGACAGAAGCAAGTGCAAAACCGCGAAGAGCCTGACCAGAGACCAACTAGAAGGTAACAATGTCCCAGGTCTCGAGAAGCCGGCTGACGTCAGCCAGTTCAAAGTTTGTTCTTTCGCTTGTTAGATCCTGATTGCACCTGTGGGGACAGCCTGTGCTGTACAGACCCAGCTGCTGCCCCAAGCAGCTTGCAGTCTCAGCCCCCTCCCCCTTTTGCAGAACCAAGGTCATAGGCGCCCCATCACCACAAGAGCCGCCTGCCTCTCCTCGGGTTCCAGGGTTCTCCTACCATGCTGGCCATTGACCTGGGTAGAGTCTTTGCATTGGCATGAAGAAGCCCCCGTTGTTATGGCCCTGGGGTTCCAAACGCAGAGCACGAGACGCTCGTACATCCCACCCGACATCACTAGGGGCCCTTTTCCTCCCTGCCCACAGCTTTCCACCGTGCCTACAATTTCTTCAGCAAGGACGCAGATGGCAATATTGACCGGCAAGGCTTGAAGGCCACTGCAAAGAAGCTGGGGATTGATTTAACCGAACAAGAGGCCGATGATGAGCTGTTGTATGCTGATATAGACGGTGAGTGTCCACAGTGGCACGTTCCCAGGGGACGCGTCTGTGAGCGTGAGGAGTTGTGCTCCTTTGTGGAGCTCTCAGCCTAACAGGCAAGACGAGGGGTGGGAGGCAGGAGGGAGCATGTCTGCATTTGCAGAGTTGCCGAAGGTGGTGACCATCTGGGACCTCGCACCAGATCTTCTGCGGTGCAGGCCAGTGACTTCATTCATTGTCTCCTGCAGCTCGTTGCAGAGTGTGACTGTTCTGGGGTGTACAAAGGAAGTGTATTGAGGCTAGCTCAGGGGTGAGACCCCATAACCCCAAAACACAAGTGCGATTCGGTACCGCAGATGGCCATGTCCACAGGGCAAACTCCCATCACCTGTTCCCACGGTGATCTGAGGAAGTGGGTCTGGCCCACGAAAGCTCATCATCTAATAAACCATCTTGTTAGTCTTTAAAGTGCTACATTGTCCTGCATTTTATGTCCACCCAGTTACTAGATCAGCATGGAGACAAGGAGGATTCCTTCCCAGGCACGGTTCCATCCTCAAAACATGTTCAGCAAGGAGATATGGGTGATCCCAAGGGCCACGATTCATTTTAGTTTAAAAAAACAAAACAAGTGACTCCTGAGGTGCATGTAGGCTCCAGACGACACTAGCTCCTGGCAAGAGGGAGGCGTTCTGCCGTCAGGAACTAGCTGAGCTTCCTCCTAGGGCGCAACAACAAGGATTCTATTTTCAGAATTTCAGCAAAAGGTGCCAGAACACCTTGAGCTCTGCCCTGGAGGGGTGGGTTTTGGGTGGGGGCTTCCCATTGCTCGGTGCCGTGCTGTGGAGCCCCAAGGTCTGCAGCCGGAGACCTGGCGTGACGGGTGTGTTACGAAGGGAGGCCAAGTCAGGCTGGCAAGGAAAATGGGCGAAGTGATGGGCAGCTGTGTACAGGCTAGCTCCAGCATGGGTGGGCGGTGCTCCTGGCTGGCAACATGCTGATTCAAAGGGGTGGGGGCCAAGGGGGTGCACTATGCCCCACCGCAGGCAGCACAACCGAGGGCACCGTGGGAACAGGTGATGGGAGTTTGCCCTGTGCCTGCCCCCTGGAGGGATCCTGGCTGGGCCCGTAAGAATTCTTCCTTGGGCTGGCCGGTCAGTCCACGGCATGCACAGGCCATTCGCACACACAGACCAGGAGCCTGGCCGAGAGCCCCAGTTCTTCTGTATCCAAAGCACACCCCTCTTGGGTCTCTGGGGCACCTCTGAGTTACACAGAAAGACCCCTCCTCAGCCCTTCCCAGTGCAGCCAGTGGCTTAAAGCCACATTCGGGCCCCCAATGTACCAGTCCCTTAGGTTGATCTGGGTGTCAAACTGGGGCCTGGTCTGCACCAGGGGGTTAGGTCGAAGTTAGGTGCATTAGGGTAATTTTATAACCAATGAGTCTACACCACCAAGCCCCTTCCACTGACTTTAAAGCCAGGTCTACACTAGGCCTGGCAGCTCGGCTTCGGGAACTCAACTGTGGCTGTGTAGAATGCCTAGAATTCTATGCAGAATACGTAGCTGGCGTCGACGTGACTTAAGCTGAGCTTGGTGGCAGCGCCACAGTGGAAGATAGACAGGAACAAACACTCTTGCCAGTTCCCTTCCTCCTCACAAAAAGAGGAGTTCCGGATGCTGGTGGAGGTGCCCTCTGAGTTTGATTTACTGAGTCTTAACTAGATTCACTAAATCAAACTCCGGAGGATCAATTGCAGCAGTGAAGATCCCTGTAGTGAAGACAAGCTCTAAGGGCAGTTAGTCAATTTCAGTACTTTTCTTTGATGAGTGGAGTAGAGCTAAATTCAACCTTGCATGGTCATTCCACCCCGCCTCCCAACCCATGCACACAGGCCAGCCATGCAGCTGTCATTCTCTGGCCTGGCCTGAGAATATGGTCAGACCCATGCCGATGACAACCAGTGGAGTGGGGAGGTGCAGTTGCCTAGGATGGATCCTAGTAACAAAGCCCCCTCTCCACCAGCGCTCAGAGAAAGATGGCCGTAGCCGGACTGGCCTTGGAGGGCGGGGGGAAGTCACTTGACCAGCAGGAAATGCTGTTTACCTTGCAGGAGACGGGAAGGTGAACTTCTCTGATTTTCTGACCATTGTCAGCGACAACAAACGCTTCATCCAGGCTGTAGGTGAGTGTCCTGCCTAGCCAGTGGAACTGGCCGCTGTCCCCCCCGGTCATGTGAGTGTGGCCAGAACCCCACCTCCCTAGAGGCAGCAGTGTCACCGCAACCTTGGGGCAATCAGGAGTTCATGTGGCGTGGACTCAGACGTCAGTCTCTGGGGTTCCCCACAGATCAGCTTGCTCACAGCTGATGCAATCAGAAACAGCTGCACTAAGCCTGGACAGTCCAGCTCAGAGGGAGGAGGCAGCTGCCATGCTGCAGGCTGAGCACCGAGGAGCACAGAAAAGAGGGGCTGCACTGACAGGATTCCCCAGGGGAGCCTGGCTCCTGGGGAGGAACCACCATGAAAGGGGTGTGATAATGGGGAGCCAGGGAACCCTGAAGCATAGGCCTGGGATTCAGACCACCGGGGGATGGGGGTTAGACCAAGCGGTGTCCCACATACTCAGCTGAGTCTCTCTGGCTGGGATGCCAGCACCAAGCTGCCTCTCAAAGCAGAGGAGGAGCAGCGCTATCTGGAGCGGTTATGCCAGTGAGAAGCGTCTCTGGCTATGCTGGAGCTAGCACTGCCCCAGAGGCCCCGGCAGGGGACATGGTTTCCCACACGCATACACTACAGTAGACTTCCGATCATCCGGAACCTTTGGGACCTCGGTGGTGCCGGATTATCGGATATGCCGGACTATCAGGAGGTACTATAAGCCGGTTATATATATATATTGTATACAGTATATACTGTATATAAAATGTTTTAACCCTTTTTATTGTACATACTGTATACAGTAGACTGTGATGTTTTAGGTTTTTTAACCCTTTTTTACCCTTTTCGCTCGGTTCAGCTGCTGCCATTGCTGCCTTGTGACTTGTTTTTTGCTGAAGCTCACTCGCTAGGCTCTTGCCATTTTGATGCCGGACTATCAGGAGTGCCGTACAATTGGATGCCAGACTATTGGAGTTTTACTGTATATTGTGGCAGAATCCTGGGTTCCAGGCCCTTTTCTGCCCACTATCCCGCAGTGTAGGGGCCGTGGGACAAGTCCCACTTGCTCTTTCTCAGCATTTGGCCTTCTGTCCCTTGGCCTGAGACAGGGGAGTTGGGGGTGATGGTGAGGAGTAAACAGTCCTCAGCCACCAGCTGAAGTTTCTGGCCACCTGGGGGGAAGGGAGCTTCCAAACACTCCCTGTCAGAGTCCGGCACCTCCGGCAGTGCTGGTGTTGTTCTGCTCAGCTCCTCCGAGCCTCCTTCTCAGTTGTTCGTTCCTCTCCAAACTCCTTCTCCACTCTCCTCCCCCCGCCCCCACAGGGAAGGTTTTTAAAGAGGTCACCTGGTCCTTAATTGATGTATAGCCGCCCTGCCTCAGCTGCCCCTGATTAGCCAGGGCCACGGCTGCTTTGTTTGTTTAAGAGCTGCCCCTCTCCTCTTCCATCCTGCCCTTTCGCGATATTTTGCCCAGACAAACCCTTGCAGGAGGTCGCCAGCGCTGACTGGGGACTCTGAAGGAGACGGCGTGGTGAGGAAGATGGGCTTATTGCTCTGCTCCTCCTCCCCAGCCCCGGAGAAAGGCAGCACAGAGGATGTGGAGTCCATTGATGCCACAGGAATCTTGATGTTTGAGATCCTATCCAAGCTGGTGGAGCTGTCGGCTCTGCCGAGGAAGGCCATGCTTGAAATAGTCAGGTGAGCACCAAGCGCTCCACAAAGGGGAAGCCAGCTCTCCGTTTCACGGGCACACTCGTAAGCCAGGAGCCACACAGGGTCAGACCAAAGGTCCGTCTCGGCCAGTCTCCTGCCTGCCGACAGCGGCCAATGTCAGATGCTTGAGAAGGAATGAACAGAACAGGGAATCATCCCTGTGGCCCACTCCCAGCTTCTGGCAACCAGAGTCTAGGGACATCATCCCTGCCCACTCCTGGGTCATAGCCATTGACGGACCTACCTCCAGGAATGTAGCTAGTTCTTTTTTGAAGGCCCGTTATAGACCTGGCCTTCACAACATCCTCTGGTAAAGAGCTTGGCAGGTTGACGGTGCAGGGTGAAGCAATATTTCCTTTTCTTTTAAACCTGCTACCTATTAGTTTCATTTGGCGACCCTCCAGCTCTTGTATTATGAGGCCTAAATAACACCTTAGGCTGTGTCCAGACTCAGGGGTTTTTTCGAAAAAAGTAGCCTTTTTTCGAAAAAACTTCCCCTGCGTCCAGACTCAAGCCGCGTTCTTTTGAAATTAATTCGAAAGAACGCGGCTTTTCTTTCGATGGCGGTAAACCTCAATTTACGAGGAAGAACGCCTTCTTTCGAAAGTTCCTCTTTCGAAAGAAGGCGTTCTTCAATGTAAATAGGGCTTCTTCGAAAGAGAGCATCCAGACTCACTGGATGCTTTCTTTCGAAAAAGCAAGCCGCTTTTTCGAAATTTCTCTGTGCAGTCTAGATGCTCTCTTTCGAAAGAGCCTCTTTCGAAAGAGGCTTGCAGTCTAGACATAGCCTTATTGTCTCCACACCCATCAGCATTTTATAGACCTCTGTCCACCCTTGGTCGTCTCTTTTCCACGCTGAAAAATCCCAGCCTTCTTAACCGTGCCTCGGACAGAAGCTGTTCCCTACCCCTAAGCATTTTTGTTGGTTTTTTGTGTACTTTTCCCAGTTCCAGTCTGTCTATGTTAAGATGAGGTGACCGCTTCTCCAAGTGGTATTCAAGAGGCGGACATACGAGGACTTATGTAGCAGCAATGGGATATTCTTTCCCTTTCCTAATAACGCCCAACATTTCAGAGAGTCGTGGTATTGCCACCCTTACCTCTGTGCCGTGCGGCTGTTGGCCAAGTGCCTGGCTCTAAAGGCAGCTCCATACTAGCAGCAGTGCAGAAGTAATGGTGGCAAGACCATCCCATGCGCCCTTACTTCTGTGCTGCCTTCAGAGCTGGGCAGCTGGAGAGAGGCAGGTGCTGACGGAGGGCTCAGCTCTGCGGGCAGCAGGGCAGTAATAAGGGGGGGCGGTACCGGGGAAGCAGGTTCGCAGAAATGTTGGTTGGTGATGTCCAGAATCCCCAGAGCCCACAGCCCTCCCCCACTCAAACGTCCTTCCCCCTCCTCCCTGCCTCAGGCTCTGGGAGCAAGTCTGGGATGCAGGCTCTGGGCTGGAGCAGAGGGGTGCAAGATTTAGGAGTTTGGATGTGGGGGGAGGAGCGAGGGGTCAGGCTCTGGAAGGGAGTCTGGGTGCTGGGTGCAGGCTCTGGCCCGGGACATGGGATGGGGTGCAGGAGGAAATGAGGTTCAGGCTCTGGAAGGGAACTGGGGACTGAAGGGGGTGGAGGGGAGAGGGTGGGTAGCCTCTGGGAAGGAGAGGGAGATGCAAGAGGAGGAGGTGAGAGGTGCTGAACTTAGCTAAGGCACCCCCCTCTGGCAGATGCTCGTGGGGGGAATCTTTGCATGTCCCCAGCCCCACTTGCCCCTCCTGCACACTCCCCTCTGCTGTTCCACAGCCTGCCACCAGCCAGGCGATTTAAAACACCCGGGGATCCAGCTGCCACCACTGGCAGCTCAGCAGGGCTACAGCAGCTGCCGGTCACTGGCTCCGCGCCACTGCTGGCATGTACATCCCGGCAGCCCCGCTCCGTGGAAAGCCTTTCCTGCCCACAGGGAGTCAGTGTCTGTAAACCGGAGATACCAGAGTTCTACCTGGTCTCCAGCTGCCCACAGGGTCTCTCAAGTTACACAAGGGCTGAATTTATACTAAAATAATAAAGGGGGGGCTTTAAAATCCCCTCGAGCCTCCTCTAAGCAACATAAAGCAGTCAAAGGACAGAAGCTCCATTCCCCTCCCCCTGAAAGGCGCTGGTGAAAAGGCTGCTGGTTATAGCTGTCCCGTGTAACGCGTCCGGAGACACTGAGTCCTCTTTTGTCTTCTAGTTACTACCGGCAGAAGTTCATGGCATCTACTGGCAGGAGGGCCTTGATAGACGATAGCAATTTAATGGATCGTGGGAAGAGTCGCCACACGTTCAGACATGCCCCTCAGAAAGGCAAAGTCACTCCTCAGTCAGCCTTTGCAGGTGCAGCCCGCATCTCCGTGATGAACAACAAAGAGCTGGAAGCCTACGTGGAAACCCTCAAGGGTAAGAATTGCAAGTGACTCTGCCGCTTGTGTGTCTAAGCGGGAGTCTTGTTGACGGTGCCAAAGGGGCAGAGGGCAACCAAGTCGCAGGTCACCGCCATTCACTGCAGCGTGCTCTGTCCATGGCAAATAAGGAGAAGTCCTCTCTTTCTGCCTGACATTTGGGCCTTGGTTAGCGACTAAGTTTTTGCTTCTTGCAGATCATAAGCCCCTACACTCTCCAGGGGTTGCACCAAGCCGTGAGTAATCGGAGGAAGCATTGTCTTGTAGTGAAAGAGCAGGGCTCCTGGGTTTCCGTCACCTAGCGAGGCTGTGGCAAGCTGGGATCTTAGGCAAATCACTTCAGATTTACAGGGGTGACCACTGATTTGGAATGCCTAGAACCCAGATTTGCAAGCTCCAGATCACCTATTCAATGAGGAATCAAATGGGGGAGGAGAGGACTAGTCCAAGCTGCACCCCTGTGAATCACCAGAGTGGTCCCATTCTAAATGATCAAAAATCTGATGGCACCGGGCACCTTGAATTTAGGCTTTGTTTACACTACCAAGTTTTGTCAACCAAACTTACGTTGACATCCCAAAGATCAGAACACACTGTTCACACTAGCTCCTCTGGTAACAGATCACATGCACATTGGGGCCACCATCATCGACAGTGTGAGCAACAAATGCACTGTGGGTAGGTAGCCCACAATGCAAGTTAATATGTTCTGTCGCTGGGAGTTGTGGGAAGTCGGAGTAGATTGCAGCACAACTTGGGACCATGCTAAATGTCCCATGATGCATTGCATTCTGTCCCAGTCCTCCATGGGCTTCCAACTTTCTTTTGCGCTATATTTTCACTGGCTAGTCTTTGCTGTGCACCCCAGCATCTTTAGAGAGAAGGGATGATCCTGCAGTTCTCTCATATGCTGTCATGAAAACATTGTGCATGGCAATACAGTTAAGTTCCTAACAGGGGAAGACGTGTAAACGCCCAACGTTCTGCGTGATACAAATAGGAGCAATTTTGCATTGTTTTGGGCATTTCCAAAGCAGCTGCATAGGGTAAACTGTTGCTTTGGGGCTAAGGAAACAAGACCGAATGGTGGGATGGCATTGTCCTGCAGATATGCAATGAAGAGCAGCAGCTACAGAACTTCTGAATGCGGAAAATGACCTTCCAGGAACTGGGTTCAGAGCTGGCCCCAGACTTGTGGCACAAGGACACCAGAAAGAGAGCTGCCCTCCTGGGAGAGATGCAGGTGGCAATCATTGGAGTCACCAGATTCCAGACAGACTGCCACCGGTCAGTTACGAACCAGTTTGGAATGGGCAAGTCGAGCATTGGGGCTGCATCACTGCAAGTGAGCAGAGCAATAAATCGCATCCTGCTACGAAGGACCATGAGGAAAATGAGTGTGAAATAGTGGACATCTTTGCAGAAATGGGTTGCCCTAACGGTGGAAGGGCGATAGATGGCACACACATTCCAATTTTACTATCAGACCACCCTACAACAGAGTAAATCAATAGGGAAGGGTACTTCTCCATGGTGTTGCAGGCGCTTATGGATTGCCATGGGTGTTTCACTGACATCAATGCAAGGTGGTCTGCAAATGCGCATGACACGCACATTTTCAGGAACACCACTTTGTTCAGAAAGCTGCAAGTGAGGACTTTCTTTCCAGACAACGCGGTTAAAGAGAGAGACATGGAAATGCCCAGAGCAATCCTGGGAGACCAGGTTACCCCTTAGAGCCCTGGCTTATGAATCCTTACACAGGACACCTGGACAGCAGTAAGGCTCAGTTCAACAGACTGAGTGGCGCCAGATGAGAATTGACTGTTCCTTTTGGCAGAATAAAGGCATGCCAGCATTGCCTTTATGGCAGGTTAGACTTAATGAGGACAATATGCTTGTGGTCATAGCTGCATGCTGCATTTTGCATAATCTCTGTGAAGCTAACGATGAAATGCTCAGAAGTGGAGCACTGAAGCAGACCACTTGTCTGCGGAGGAGCCCAGAGGGTGGCAATTCAGATCAGGGAGGCTCTGAGGAAGCACTTTGATAATGAGCAGCAGTAATGTATATCTGTGTCATAGGTGCTTCAATTGTATAGTCCATGTAGTTTTCCTAGGAGGTTATGGTAACATTTGGGGGCACAGATCCCAGTGAGAAAATCTTTGAAATGACTGTTCAGGTGTGAGTAGTGCCTGCCATCTGAATTTGTAGAAAACAAAATAGAGATGAATTCCATTATAAAACTTTACCTTTATTGAACTGTATGCAGCTCACCTATATGCCGCTTAGGTCCCTGCACAGGTAGTTGCAGAATGATGTGGGAAAGTGTCCTACATTGGGGAGAGGAACCAAGCTGCTTTGCCATCGAATCTGCAGCAAAGAACTAACACATGCCTCCAGGAACTCTCCTGGCAATTTCTCTGGAGGATTCCTGCGAGATATCGGCATGCACCAGCACTCTGTTCTGTCGCGTCAGCACCCTGTTCTATCACACCAATTAGCTACACAGGGAAATGTCCAGCCCCTAGAAACACATCCAGCCTCTCATATTTCTGTATCCTAAACCCATCTCTGCACTTCACAAGCCACAGCCACTCCCCACGGGTCTGATCTGCTTCCTGCTCCCCAGAGGACAACTGCCGAGACTGACTATGCACCACAGAAGAGAACAGTTCCTGGCTGCCTGCCCCATCAGGCAACCACACTGGGAGCTACGCATCCTTGTGTAACTCCATCTCATCCTCCAGGTTAGGTTTGCTTTCTGCCGCCTGTGCCCTCCAAAGTATCTACGGGGCTCTTTGTAATGGAGATAGCACCACACCAAGGATAGCATCCATCTCCTTATAGAGATGGCAGATCTTGGGTACAGCACCAGAGCAACTTTCCCTCCCTCACCTTATGTTATGCCTGCCTCAGCGTCTTTATCTTCAATCAACACTGCAGCTTATCCCAGTCACAGCCCTTTTCACACACCCCTCGAGAAATGTGTCCATAGGTTTCCCCATTCCTGTGGTTCAAGCACAGCTGGGACTGCATAGCCTCCTCTCCAAATGTACTGACCAGATCCAGCAGCTCCCCAGTGCTCCAAGCAAACAGCGTTTGGTGCAATAGCTGGACACGGTCCCGTGGGAAGATTCGATGAGATGCTCGGGTTTTCTTTTCTGAGGTTTTCTTTCCAATTGTAACAGTTAGGGAGTTACTTTAAAAAAATAAAAAGTTGAGATGCTAGAGAATGAGACACCAGCATCTCTCGCCAATTGCTACCCTATTCCATGTACCATCCCAGTTCAAGGGAAGAGCCCACTAGGCCATGCTGTCCTTCCAGGTTTCATTCAGACACAGTTTGCATTTTATCCAAAGCTCCAAAGTCTAGGGGGCTAGAATTTTCCCCTTTGCCATAGAGGACAGGACAGCAGTAAACTGTGTTTCTGGGAATCAGGCCTTGCTTGTCTGAGAAGTGACAAGGCGATGTGATTGGGACAGGCTGCCTTACAGCACAAAGGTTACAATCGGCCCCATCCGAACCCGTGACTGCGATGTCTGGTTGGGCAGAGCTGAAGATGGAAATCAAGTGGGGGGATCAGCCAGTGAATGAGGGTGGCTCTCATGCCAACCATGTCTGGAGTATGGTACATCAAGTCCCTTTCGGCTGGACTTGATCTGAGTCAAACTAAGGTTTATGAAAAGCTGCTATGGACTTGGATAAGAGGGAAGTTCTCTCTGCTAATATGTAGGCTGTCCCCCCATGGGCTGTCACCATGTAGAATAAATAGAAAAGGAGAGAATTACAGCTAGTTTAAGTTTGGTTAAAGAAATTGGTGTTGCACAGAGAGCCCCTGAAAGTAATGAATTATGAGGCTGGAAAGAAGAAAGTGGGCCGGGAGTGCGTGTTGCACAGAGAGCCCCTGAAAGTAATGAGTTATTAGGCTGGAAGTGGGCCGGGGGTGTGGGGGCTGTCTGGTTCAAAGAATCACTAATGAAGGTAAGAACTTCTGACCAAGGGGGTAACAATCTGTTTTAAAAAGAGGCAGCAAGGCCCTTCCCACATGACATACCAGTGTTATCTCAAAAATAGAGCCAGGTACAAAGCGAAACTTGTGGGTCAGCAAGAAAGAGGGGGAAGAGATAAGGAGGAAAGGCCTTGGGGAGAAAGGTGTTAATCTTATCTACATCCCAGCTACGTCTACACTGGCATGATCTTGTGCAAGAACTCTTTTGCGGAAGAGTTCTTGTGCAAAAATTCTTCCAGAAGAGAGCGTCTACACTGGCATGTGCTTTTGCGCAAGAGATGTGCTTTTGCACAAGAGCATCCGTACCAGTGTAGACGCTCTCTTGCGCAAGAAAGCTCCGATGGCCATTTTAACCATAGGGCTTTCTTGCACAAGAAATTCATGTTGCCTGTCTACACTGGCCTCTTGCACAAGAACAGTTGCACAAGAGGGCTTATTCCTGAGCGGGAGCATCAGAGTTCTTGTGCAAGAAGCCCTGATTTCATACATTAGAATGTCAGTTTACTTGTGCAAGAACTCGCGGCCAGTGTAGACAGGCAGCAAGTTTTTGCGCAAAAGCAGATGCTTTTGCGTAAGATCACGCCAATGTAGACACAGCTAAGACAGGAAACTGTCTCTAGTTGGCTTTTACCTGAAGTCAGTAATTGGCAATGACATCATTTGTTTGTTAAAGGGTATTAAAAGTGAATTCTGAAAGGGTTCATTACTAATACCTGACCACATAGGGGCAAATCAACATGGGTCTAAGCAAACCATGGGTGTTTAGCCCATTTGTAAGTATCTTGATTGAATACTTTTTTACTGTTTGGATGTAGTCAATTGCTTATCAGTTAGGCTTTGTAGGCCTATTTAGAGCAATTGTATAAATACCTTTCAGCCTCTGGCTTTAATAAAGGAATATTTGGTTAAATTAGTGTTGTGACACTATCCTGCATAAATAATAACTTCAGCATATCACTTAGCCCAACGGAACCTTAATTAACTGATTCGTTCTTCTGGTGGTTGCTCGAGGTATAACTCATGGCCTGTTTCTACATTGGCACCCCTTTCCAGAAAAGGGATGCTAATGAGACCAGTCGGAATTGCAAATGCCGCGGGGGATTTAAATATCCCCCGCGGCATTTGCATGAACATGGCTGCCACTTTTTTCCGGCTCAGGGTTTTGCCGGAGAAAAGCGCCAGTCTAGAAGGGATCTTGCGGAAAATAAACCCTTTTCCGGAAGATCCCTTATTCCTACTTTCAA